AACAGACTGTGGGGGAGCCTGCTGCTGTGAAGAAGCAGTAGATGTGCCATCAGAATGAGCTTCCTCTTTATGCTGTTTTTGTGATTGCTTTTCTGCTTCAGAGTCATCAGAATCATCTTCATCATCATCCTCTGAAAATTCCTCTACTTCCCGTCCCTCCTCAGGGATTTCCTGACCACCCATGCGAAGCATCATCGCTTGAAGAGGAGTCAGCTCCTTCATGTTCTTCTTTTTCTTCCTTGATTTTCCAGGCATATCTGCAAATCGTACACTGAGACCTGACTTTTTTTCTTCATTGTTGTCTCTTTCATTATCATCACGATGTACAAATTCATCCCCCTCACTTTCTCCATCTGATCTGTCAGTGTCACTGTCATCAGTACTGTCATCATGTTTATCTTGATCCATGTCCTCAGGATAGCCGTCATCTTCACTGGTGCTGGAAACATCATCGTCATGACCCCGCTGAGCAAGTTCAGGACTATATAACATGTCTTCATCTCGCCTACGAGAAGGAAGATCTAGGGCAAAGCCCACTTTACGGCCATACATCTGCAAAACTTGAGGAGGTGGTGGACCAGGGGGAGGGCCAGGAGGTTTTCTGCTTGGGGGCAAATGTGGAACACCATGTCCAAGAAGAGGAAGGATAGAAACAGCCTGAGTTGGAGGTCCATAGGCTGAGGTTTTCTTAAGGATGGAGGGTGGCTGGGCACCAGGAAGTGGAATATCCTGGATCAAAATGTTGGATGGAGCATGTGGCATATCTGGCAAAGGAATACTCTCCACTTCCACATGCTGAGCATTCTTGACAGCATCAAAATACTGGCTAAGTTGAGCCCTCTTCTGTTCATATTCTACTTCTAGCTTTCTCAGTTCTTTGTAAATATCTGGATTCTCTTTTTCATAGAGTCGTAGAATACGTTCAAAGGTTTCACGCAGCTTTTTACGCTTGTCTTTCAGTACTTTCTCATTTAACTGTGGCTGTTGCACTGGGTTAAATTCCATTTCATCCAATTTCTCCATGTCCCAGATAATCTGTTTGGGATCCTTCATCTTCAAAACTGCAGCTCGTACCATTATGCGCTGTTTTTTGTTCTTCTTTAATTCTCTTTTCCGGGCTTCCTTTCGAGCTTGGTCTGTAGGGTTCATAAATTTTCCACTCTTGGTGGATGATGTAGATCTCTGTCCCATGTTGACAATCTGTGTGGTTTCCTTGTTCATTAAAAGAAAACAAAAAACACTTCTGCTGGGCTCCCAGAGCTGTGAGAACCAAGGAGGGGATGACTCCCAGCCTCTTTTACTTTTTAGTGCCTTCAAGTCAGCCTCTCGGTCAACCAACAAGCCACCGCCATCTTGAAAGCTCGCTGTTTTTCTTATTCTTGTTTCTCAAGGTAGAAGTGGAGATTATTGGTTTGAAGTTTCTTAATATAATCATTTAATGTTATACATTTTCCCCTAAGTAGTGATTTAACTATAACTTATACATTTTTAATCTCTTGTTTATTCATTTTGATTCAATTCAAATTATTTTTAAATTTCTCTCATGATTTCTTTGAAATCATGCAGTGTTTCTCTATAGTACTTCTAAGAGTACTATTTCGTTTGCAAATATTTGTATATTTATCAAATATTTTTCTGCTATTGGTTTCTAAATTCAATACATTGAGCTCAAAACAATCCATTGAGATCAAAACATATTTTGTGTGATTTCAATTACTTTAAATTTTGTTTAAAGTTTATTTTATGGACTAACTATGGCAAAAAAAATGATGTTCAATGTGCATTTAATATAATGTGTATTCTGCTATTTTTGACTGGGGAATTCTACAAATATCATTTGGGTCTTCTTGGCAGATAGTATTGTTCAGGTCTTCTGCATTCTTACTGATTTTTTTGTCAACTTATTCTATTGATCACTAAGAGAGGAGTGTTGAAGTCTCCAAATGTAATTATATGTTTGTCTAATTCTCCCATCAAGGTTCTTGCAAGGTTTTATTTGACTATATTTTAGAAATATTTCTAACATAAATTATAAAGAGCAATACAACAATCACGGGTACCAATTTCAAAGATGTAATTATTAGTGATATTTTCTTTATTTTCTTTAGATCCAAATATAGTTAGGAAGGAATTTGTACTCCTTCCTAAGCCCATTCCACTCTCCCTAGATGCACAAACCCTATCTTGAATTTTATATGTATCCTTGTCCATAATTTCATATTTTACATCACACTGATTACTTTTACATCTTATATATTATTACCTGTATGCAACTAGAGATTGATTTTATATATAATACATGTATGCATAAACAATATACAAAATGAAAGGATACCTAAATGGCAATATTACAGTACATATAGTACGCTATTTTTTCAGCATTATGTTTTACAGATTCTATGCAGATTGATACAAGTGGACTTCGAACTTCATTTAACCTCAGTCTAGAATTCCATTGTATAAAATATATTACAGCTCATTCATATATTTCTTATTTTCAAACATGTCCAGTATTTTTCATTTTTCTCTTCCAAAAATGATACAATAAACATTTTGGGGTGAAGAAGTGAAAATGCCTATTCATACAATTTGCTGTTTTATTTTATGATAATCATAGATTAACAGAACCTTTCAAAAATAGTACAGAGAGGCCGAGCGCAGGGGCACACACCTGTCATCCTAGTGCTCTGGGAGGCCAAGACGGGCTGATTGCTCAAGGTCAGGGGTTCAAATCCAGCCTGAGCAAGAGCAAGTACCAGTCTCTACTATAAATAGAAAGAAATCAATTGGCCACCTAGTATATATAGAAAAAATTAGCCGGGCATGGTGGCGCATGCCTGTAGTCCCAGCTACTCGGGAGGCTGAGGCAGCAGGATTGCTTGAGCCCAGGAGTTCAAGGTTGCTGTGAAGTAGGCTGACACTATGGCCCTCACTCTAGCCTGGGCAACAAAGCGAGACTGTGTCTCAAAAAAAAAAAAATTAAAAAAAAAATAGTACACATTAGATCTCATGTGCCCCACACTCAGATTTCCATAAAAGTGGTATCTTATATATCTTTTTACATATTTGCATGACAACATACATAAAAAAATAGTACAGTATGAAAAACAGGAAACTGATATTAGTTCAATTAGTTGACCTTATTTAGATTTCACCAATTTTGTTGATTTTTATTTTAATTGAGTTATAGTAAAGTACACATATTAAAAATTTACTGTCTCAATCATTTTAAGTATACAGTTCAGTACTGGTAAGTACATTGCTATTGTTATGCAACAGATCTCTAGAACTTTTTCATCTTGTAAAACTGAACTTCTATACCCATTAAACAATTCCCCATTCACCCTTCCTCTGAGTTCCTAGGAACCACCATTCTACTTCCACTTTCTATGTATTATTTGTCTTTTTGTCAATGGGTTTTTTCATTTATAACGTACTTGAGTTTTATCTGTGCTGCAGCATATTTTAGAATTTTCTTCCCTTTTAAAGCACAGTAGTATTCCTTTATATGTATATACCACATTTTGCCCATCCATTCATCTGTCAACAGACACCGGGGTTGTCTCCAGCCCTTGACTATTCCAAACAATGGTGCTATAAACATGGATGTACAGATTCTCTTTGAGACCCTTCTTTCAATTCTTTTGAATATGAACCCAGAAGGGAATTGAAGAAACCCGTGATAACTCTATTTTTAATATTTTTAGCAAGTATCATACTGTTTTCCACAGTGGCTGTATCACTTCAACAATTAGCACCCCACCTCTCAGTGCCAAAATCTGTATTAGTTTGCTATTCTGCCAGAACAAAATGCCACAGACTAGGTAGTTTGATCAATAGGAATTTAGTCTCTCAAAATTCTGGAAGATAGAAGTCCAGGATCAAGGTGCTAGCAGGATCGACTTCCCCTGAGGCCTCTCTCACTAAGTCCTCACCTTTCCCTTTTCTCTGTGAGTGTGCATTTTTGGCGTCTGTCTCTCTTCCTATGAAAACATCAGTCATGTTGCTTTATGGGCCCAACATTAGGATTTCCTTAAACTTGAATCATATCCTTAATGACCCTATCTTCAAATGCAGTCACATTAGAATTGGAGCTTCAGCATATGAATTTGTAGGAGACCACTATTCTGTTTATAACAAATCCCAGTTCAGGGACAACCTACAATAAACGTAGCGAGTATTCTTCAAAACTGCCAAGGTCATCAACAGCAAGGCAAGTCTGTCACAGCAGAAAGGAGGTTTACGTGACATGACAAGTATCTGTAGTGGAGCAAGTGGATGCGGAATCCTGAAATAGAAATAGAACATAGGCAAAAACTAGGGAAAACTCAATAAAGTATGGCTTTTCATTAACGTTAGTAATATATCAATAATTTTACTAATTACAACACATGTAACATACCAATGTAAGACAGATATAATAGGGGAAACTGAGTGCAGAGTAAATGGGAACTCTTCACTCTTTGCACATTTTTTATTCCTTGCAAACTTACAAGGAATTGGCTCCAATGATATAGAAACTAGTGAGTCCAAAATCTCACTAGTGAGCCAGTGGTGCAGGGGATCCGGGGAATGCAGACGTTCCAGTCTGAAGGCCATCAGGCAAGAAGAAACCGCTGGGCATGTGGAGTCCACAGCAGTCTGTGGCGGGGCCAGGAAGGCCCAAGGCTAGAGAAGTAGGAGGCAGTTTGATACACAAATCCACTTGCTGGGGGTAAGGCCAGACTTTTGTTCTTATCAGGCCTTCAACTGACAAGATGATGTCTACCCAAATTAGACAAGACATCTGCTTTACTCACATGTAAATGCTAACCTTATTCAAAAATTCCCTCATAGAAAAGCCCAACTTATCTTTAACCAAGTATCTGGGAATTGTGTTCTCAAAGTAGTAGCAGCCCAGTTTTTAGTCCTCACCCTCAAGCCAGAAGGACCAGAGGTAGGCTTTATTTGCAAATTGTTGCACATGTCTGTTCTAACCTGCCTAAGGAAACTCTGAAAGACTGGCTCAAGGCTCTCATCTCTGTGTCAACTCACTCAAATCTCATCTTTATCATACAAATGACTCGGAAAAATTTTATTGGTATTTTTATAGATGAGGCCAAAAACACGCTCACAGAAACGCCCAGATTTTGTCTGACTAAATATCCAACAGTCTTAAAGCAGTGGCAACCCTGCTCCTAGTTCCCTCCCTCGAAGCAGAGGACACAGAGCAGACTGTATTTGCAAGTTATTGTGTAGCTCTGTTCTGACCTTTCTGAGAAACAACTAAGGGACTGACACAAGGCACATATCTGTGTCGTATAACTCAGAACTCAGGCGGAGGAAGCCGTGGGCACCATTTATAAACACTACAGACACGAACAGGCCACACAGAGAACTCAGGCAAGATAGTACAGATGGAAACATACAAGAGAATGCCCGAGGTTTGGAGGAGAAGCTGGTGTAAGAGTCCTTGGTATGCTATGATATGCAAAAGCAGCTGTACATACAGAGGTATTTAGAAAGCCATATACATGCTCAGGGCAAGACCTGTTCTCAAAGAGGCCTGAAAAGACCTTAAGCTTTCACCTTAGCCTGATCGCCAGGCTTAGAGCAAGCTGAGTGCTGAAGAAATGCCCCAGGGCAGAGCCAATTTGCAAAGACCAAGAGAGGTGGTTGGTTTTGTTTGTTTGTTTTTCTGTTCTGTGTGTGTGAGGGGTGGGGAAGGTGGTTTGCTTTTTTTGGCACCTGGTATTGAAGAAAATCTCTGTCAAAACATAAACTGATTCTCATCCTTAGATTTAAAGTAAAAAAAAAGTGAGTGAAGTCAGCAAGATGGCATGATAGGAGGTCCCAAGCCTCACTACTCTCCACAGAAAATTCAACCAGCAACTATCCACACACAAGAACATCGTCAGGAAAATCTCAAAACTTGGGAATAAGGCTGAGACACCTGCATGCACCACAGAACTAAATAAAAACTTCATTAGAAGGAAAAGAAAAATGGTCTCACTTTGTGTCACCACCTCCTCTCTCCAAGTTGGCACAGCACCACACAGAGAGGATTGCCCACGCTAGGGTTTCTACATTCAGGGAAAAAAAAGAAAGACCTGGTGTTGGACATTCAGCTTGCCTAGCATTCCTGGATGCCTCCCAGGAAGGCCACTGCACCCTCACTTCTGGGAAAGTTAGGAGGAAAAGGCAAACAAAACCACCCAGGGTCAGACAGAAAGGAAACAAGATTGTAGAGCTACCGAGACCAGCATGCAGGACTTGGTGGCAGCTCTGTGCACCTGTCTGTGGTGGCGCTGGACCAAAACTTACAGATAACAACATATTCCACCTGAAAAGCCAAAACTGCCCATTCCCAGAGATGGTGGGGAGTTCTATGTGGCTTGAATCCCTACACAGCCAGCCTCCAAGACCAAACTCAGATCCTACCACCAGGCCACACCCAGAAAAGAAGATCACCACTACAGCAAAATTTGGCAAAGAGCAGGGACAAATTTCAGCATGCATGGGAGATTAAACAGCACTCAGCTCAGCCTTCAAGCCCAACTAAGCAGGAGGCAAATCTCAACCATGCATTTCTAATGAGCATGGAGGTCCATCTCACTCTTCCTGATCAGCAACTCCATTTAACCTCATAGCCACTCCTGCAACTACTGATCTTAAAATAGTGCCACCATCTATCCAGGGGATACTCTCTGTGTCTCAGACTGATCAGAGCTGCTTGTAGTGTTCATCCAGCAAAAGAAAGAAATTAAGTCCTAACCTCATACCATATGCAAAAATCAACTTAAAATGGATTAAAGACATAAACATAAACCGAATCTCTGATAAATCAAACAAAAATATACATTGGTGAAAAGAATCTCCTTTCAATAAAAGTGCTGAGAAAACTGGATACCTACCTGCAAAAGAATGAATCAAGATCCCTACTCTCACCTCTCACAGAAATCCATACATGATGGATAACAGACTTAAAACTAAGGCATGAAACCTTAAGAATACTAGAAGAAGATGTTGGGAAAACACTTTCAGACATCAGCCTAGACAAGAATTCCTGAAGGAGACCCCCAAAGCAATCACCACAGCAACAAAAATAAACAAATGGGTTCTGATTCCATTAAAAAGCTTCTGCACAGCCAAGGACACTATCATTAGAGCAAATAGACAACCTACAGAATGGGAGAAAATATTTTCTCTCTACACATCTGATAAAAGTCTCATAACAAGAATCTATCTAGAACTCAAAAGAATTAACAAGAAAAGATCAAACAACCCCATCAGGAAATGGGCAACGGAAATGAACAGAAACTTTTCCCAAGAAGACAGAATAATGGACAGCAAATATAAAAAAAAAAAAAAAAAAAAAAAAAGCTCAACATCTCTAATCATCAGAGAAATGCAAATCAAAACTACAATGAGATACCACCTAACCCTAGTGAAATTGGACTGTATCAAAAAATCCCAAAATAACAAATGCTGGCAAGGATGTGGAGACACAACACAGAAACACTCTAATCTGCTGGTGGGGCTGCAAATTAGTGCAACCTTTGTGGAAAAGAATTTGGAGATACCTCTAAGAGCTAAAAATAGAAACACCATTCAACCCAGCAATAGCATTGTTGGGCATCTACCCAAAAGAGCATAAGACACTCTATTATAAAGATATCTGCACCCGAATGTTTATGGCAGCACAATTTACTATTGCAAGGGCATGGAAACAACCCAAGTGCCCATCAATTCATGACTGGATTATTAAAGTTTGGAGTATGTTTACAATGGAATATTACTCAAATCTAAAAAACGACAATGAGCTCACACCACTTATATTATATCCTGAATTAAGTTTAAGCCCATTATCCAAAGTGAGGTGACACACCATCAGAAAAACGGGCTTTACATGTACTCGCCATCAAATTGGTACTGCCTGATTAACACTATGGTGCTCAAATGGTGGTGGTGTGCACCAGGGATTCAGGGGTTGGGGGTAGTCTCACATCTGAGGGATGTGGTGAGCATTGTGGAGAGGAAGAACATACCTCTAACCCTTGCTAGGGAGAGGCAAAAATATAAAATGTGACCAAAATGTTTGTACTCTCATACTTTCTTGAACTAAAAAAAAGCAAATTGAAGTACAAAAGGAACAAAAAGTAGGTAAAATGTTGGAAATGAAAATTTACCTCCTAGAGTCCATATAATAAAACACTTGAGGAAATATCAAAAACTAAATTAATAAATAAATAAAAGGTTTCTGTATGACAATGACAATACTGCCAGAACAATCATTGCAATCTCTATCAAAATGGACTTGCCTCATTTTCGGAAATATAGAAATCCCTCCTAAAATCTATTTGGAGCCCTCAGGGCCCTCACATGGCCAAAACAAAATTTGAGGACTCATGCTTTCTGATTTCAGAACTTATTACAAAGCTATAAACTGAATTAAATAGATAAAACTCCCAGGAATAAAACTAATTAATTCTCTATAGGGATGCCAAGACGATTTTGGAAAAAACGATAGTCTTTACTACCAATGGTATTAGGAAAACTGAATATCTACATAAAAAAGAATGAAGTTGAACTCTTTATACCATTTACAAAATTAAGTTAAATGGATTAAAGACATAAATATAGAACTCAAATAATTACATTCATACAAGACAACAGGGGAAAATCCTTATGGCATTGGATTTGACGATGATCTCTTGGATGTGCCACAAAAAGGACAGACAGCAGAAGAAAAAATAAGTAAAATGGACATTATCAAAATCAAACTTTTGTACATCCAAGGACACTATCAAGAGAGTGAACAGACAACCCACAGAATCAGAGAAAATAATGGCAAATCATATATCTGGTAAAGGTTAGTATCCACAATATGTAAAGTACTCCAACAAATCAACAACAAAAAGCAAACCACACTATTCAAACTTGTGTGGATTGCAGAGGATTTGAATACATACTTCCCTAAAGAAGACATATATATAGTCAATAAGCACATGACAAGATGCTCAATATCATTAGTCATTAGGGAAATGCAAATCAAAACCACAATAGCATAGAACTTCATACCCACTGGCGTGGATATTATTTTTAAAATATAAACTAATGTTAACAAGAATGTGGACAAATTGGAGTTCCCATGCATCAGTTTTATAAAAGTAAAGTAATGCGGTCACTATGGAAAACAGTATGGCAGTTCTTATAAAAGTTAAACAAAATTACCACATGATCCAGTAAGCCTATTCCTAGGATGTACCCTAAAAGCAGGGACTCAAATAGACACTCTACACATAAGTTCACAGCAACTTTATTCACAATAGACAAAGGGTAAAAACAACCCAAATGTCTATTGACAATCTAACATTGTTTTTATGCATAAACAAAATGTTATATATACATTAACCAGAATATTATTCAGCCAAAAGAGGAATGAAATTCCAATGCATGCTGTGACACTAATGAGCCCTAAAACATTATGCTAAGTGAACTAAGCAAAAGGAGCAACATTCTTTGATTCCAGTTATATGCTGTACCCACAAGAGGCAAATTCACCATGACAGAAAAGAGAGGTTACCAGGGACTCCAGGGAGAGAGGAAATGGAAGCTACTATTTAATGGATACACAGTTCTATTTTGATAATGATGAAAAATTTCCAGAGATGTATTGTGGTGGGAGTTGCACACAATTGTTAATGTACTTGATGCCCTGAAAAATAATAATACATCTAAAATGGTTAAAATGGTAAATTTTGTGTTATGTAGTTTTCTACATAGAAAGTATTACTTATTGAATGAGGTATTAATTCATGCAAAAATATGGTAAATCTTAAATGGATTCTACTAAGTGATAGAATACATATTATATGATTCTATTGGCATGACATTCTGCAAAAGGCAAAATTATAGGGACAGAAAAAAGATCAGAGATTGCCAGCAGTTAGGAAAGAGGGAAGTGGTTAACTACAAAGGGAAGGCAAAGAGAACTTTTATAGTGAAGAAATTAGTTAGTATGACAGTGGGCTAGGGGATACTTCTCTATATACTTGTCAAAATCCATAGAAGTTTACATCACAGTAATGGAACTTAACATAGAATAAAGAAAGAGAAAAACAGCAATCAAGATGTCAGGTGAAGACAGGCTGGAATGCAGACTGTAACAAATGAATCTACCTGTCCCACAGATGTGGGACACAGCTGTGCTGACTGAAAGAAAAGCCCACAAAGTTCTCTGCCCATTATGTTTTAACGCCACCCAATAATAAAAATTTCATTTTTAAATTTTTATTTTTTTTAGGGTTTAATTGGGTTATTCTTTTTTTTTGGAGCGTTGTTGTTTTTTTTTAAGTTTTTAATTATTGGTTGACTTATTTTTTAAATTTGGAAAGGTTCTTTTTTATTCCTTTTGATTTTGAAGGTTTAATTAGTGTTTGACCTTTTTGGAATTGTTGGGTTTTTTGGTTTTCTTGTTAAAATTCTTTTTTCCATTTTTTCTTTGTTTAAAATTGTTAATTTCCTTTAAAAGGTTTTATTGTTGAAAGGCAATTGTTAATTAATTTTTTCGGGGCTTTTTTTTTCATTTAGTTGGCCAAAGGCGTTGCTTGGGAGGGATTGGAACCCTTTGTTTTCTTTCAGACTTAAGAAGCTAAGGCTTAAGCAAATGCTTTTAGGGTTTGTGCTGCAATCACAATGTGGTGGAGACTCGAGCTTGCCAAATACCTATTTTGGGAGAATGTCTACTATAGCTTTAGAGAGCAGGATGAAAATGAAAAGTTACTATTACAAGACCAAAAAAATATGTAGCTGGACTCTAAATAAGATTATCCTTTTTCACATACCACCTAAAGTTGTGATTTGATTACATTCACTCTGTTGAAAGGTCTCTGAAAATTTGTTTTTACATCAAAATATGTTTTCGTTTAGTGAGAATTTCTCCCACCTACAACTCAGTGGAAAATCTTTGCAAATGTGGCATTCTCAAATATTTTCCTGTAAAAAATGAAAACTCACAATTGAAATATATTTGTTTACTAACTGTGTTTTTTTTCGTTATTGAATGGTGAAAACAGATAAGAACTATTTCAACCTTTTTCTAGTGAGTTGAAAACCATAAAATGAATTGCATTGTCATTGTTCCCATGTCATCACACCATGGGAAATGCTAGGCAGACTACTGAAGAGGAATTTAATGTGCTTCTGCTCTTTATACTTTGAGTACACCCTGGAGGTTGAAGGGAATCAAACATCATGAAAGCCTAAAGTTTAGATTACATATACTGTATTTTCATGCCGGAATGAATTGAAAAACAGATTTCAGAAAGAACATCTTATGGAAAAAAAATGTGTCAAGGAATAAAGCAATTAGATTAAATTTAGATGTATTTTTAATGAACCAGGGATTGCTAATAAATCTTAAAAATCTCTCTTTTCACAATCCCCTTCTGATAAATGTGGGGAATGAATGCCTATCTGTTCTCATGTATTTGTACTCAGCCAATACTATAGTAATTTAGAAGATGATTTAAATATCTCATTAAGTACACTTTTTATTTAGGGCCCCAAACACGGGTGTCTATTATACAGATTATATTTAGAATCTGAGCATTTGGTGGTGGTAGTGGTTACAGTGGTCTTTATTTATTTTTAATGTACACTGTTTCCATGGATTCTGTGCAACATGTGCATGGCCCTTTACATTATCTTGTCCGTTCATCTTCTCTGTTAAAAAACTGCACATTTCTCTGTAATATAGCATGCAAATAGATAAAACCTGAAGCTCAAATGTGAATTGCCTTCTCACATCTTTACATGTAGCTGAAAAATACTGAAGCCTACTGGGTAACAAGAGCAGGCAGATAAGACGTAGAGCAAAGAAAAATCACCTTATATTCCGGGTCAGACACGTCTGTTCCACCTGCCCGCTGGAGCTGACATCTTCTACCTAGACCAAACGCCCTCGCCAGCAGGAACCCCACTACACTGACTCAGGTATCTATATCTACAGCTATTATTCTCGTGCATTTTATGATTGTGATAAACACAGCACAAAGAGTAAGATTTTTAGAAAAAAACAATCCAGTAAATGTAATCTTGCAGGCTAATAAACAGATCAATTCAGATTAAAAAATTACAAGTGAATTATCACTTCCAAATATTTCATGCCTTAATATTGAATATAACAGTTTTATTAGCAAATATTTCAATATGTCTCTTGGATTAAAAAAGTGTGTTAATAGAGAAAATGGTCACATTAATGATGGCAAGCTTTCAGTACTCCAATACTGATATAGTAAATTTTATATTTTTTCTTATCTATATTAATAAGGTTTCTCTGTAGCAAATCTATATCTAGACTTTATTTATGTGATATAGCTTCAAATTTCTGAGGTACTTTAGACATGGTAAGGATTTTTGAAGGAATTGTATTTCTGTATAATCAGGCTTTCTTACAGAAAATTTTCTGGGAAATTATTAAACATTAATATGTACACAGAGAACTATATTTTTAATTGTATTATAAAAGATAACAATGGTACATAATTCCCTGAGGAAATACATCTATGTAGAAAGTGTTGCATTTGATGATGCACTGGCAAGCCAGTGAGTATAAGAATCATTAAAATTTTATCTAGTTAGAATCCTATTCTATATAAATTCTTTGATTATAAAAAATTTAAAATGCTTGACACAAATTCATTAACTTTTTGAAATATTTGCAAGTAAAACTAATATTTCAAAAAGAATTGGCTGCCTTTAGTGTGTGCCTTTGTATATTATGGACATAAAACAACACACTCCATAGAACATCGAAATCAATTTCAGTCCTAGATGGAGGCATTCATCTCTAACATATTGAAGGAGGTGGCAACAACCATTTAGAAAGTTACGGGAAGCAAATTGTCTTTGAGTCCTAAAAAAATTACTAACAGTAAGGCAGATGACAAATAGAAAATTCATAAAAGCAGAAACCACGAAGGAGAAATTTTAGAATAACCTGTTATGTAACATTATCAAGCTTTACAATACAAAGGAGTCAAAAGATATTTTTCTTATTTTTCTGGATAGGGGCAATTTTTCAGTGACATAGTTCATACATCACAACATTTCTACCTTTTTTAAGTAAAGTAAATAACATATATGATGAACTCCAGTACTACTCGAAATCACAATACCCAAGGAGCTATAGACAGATGTTGAGAACTAATAACTTTTAGAATCATAAAATATTAATAATGTGAGGCAAAAATCTCACTTAGAATAAACTTGCAAAGGGAAAATTCAGGCATCAGTAATTAAATGCCATGAAATATTGATCTCAAAGATATACAGAGAACCCAGAGAGGCTAAAACATGAAAACATTTTTTAAATAAACTCTTAATCAGTCATTTAGAATTTTATCTCAAAATTGTTTAGAGATGAGTGAAAACTGTGGAACACATACAGAACTGAAGCATCTTCCTGCAATGAGGCAGATGCCAAACAATGGTAAGTATTTTTTCTCCCCAATCCTTACTGAATGAATCCTGATATATTCTGCTCTCTGTTAAATAATTTCCCTTAAGAATTTCATTCTAATTTAACATATAAGCTCTAACTTATTCCTAAAATTTTGTCATATGAAAGAAAATTTACCTGATAAACTTTACATAGTAAAAAAAAATAATTGCATGGATTTCCTTTATTAGGAAGGAATTCTATTACCTCTCTTACATATATTAACAGCTTACATGTTTTCAGAGAAATAGTGTGAATATCAAGCAGTGTCTTAATCTCTATTCGAATCTCCAGTGACAGAAGAAGAGACCATTTACTCAAAAGTGAAATCATATCCTTTAGACATCAATCAGAGAAACTCTGAATCATCCCCAAAAAAGGTAAACTTTAGGTAGAGGATAGACCTTCACCAGCCTCAGTGTCTTAGCCTATGTGTATGTGATGAAAGAAATGAGACAGAAACCACTGTTCTGAATCACCGAGTTCGCTTGCCCAGTTTCATGAGGTTGCTTAAACTATATCTGAAAATCTAAATGAAAAAGAAAGGTTGAAAGCCAAATATCCAAGTTTGGCACATTCCAGAGAATGAGTGTAGTTGGTTACTACATACATACATTCATTACTAATCAAGTAGGACAATGATTCCTTTTCCACTTATTTAGAAACAGTTGTGAATCTCCATGTGAACATAGATTCATTCTATGAAATTCCAAGAAATTATATTTGATTAGAATTATTTGGTATATATGTCTGTGATTAGAATTTATTTTGTGCATTACTGTAGCTCTTCCTAATAATGATGAACAGTATTGAAGCTGCAATGAGAAAACTGTGGGTTTTTACATAAGTATGAGAGCATGCAGTATTTATAAGATAATGACTATCTTCTGATGAGGAATCAATAAAAGTGATCTATTTCATATTGTTTTAGAAGGATCTTCACTTTTTCAAAAGCAATTTCATAAGTCTAATATTGTGCTCTGTATTCTTAAAGCAGTGACTTGGATCAGGGGATTATTTTGCTAAAGTTAGAATAAGTAACTTCCCTAAGAGATACATGGTCACAGAAAAGGAGCAGAGCCCAGGCATCAGTTCAGTGTTGTTTGACATTGGTCAGTATCTCTTTCCGGTTACAATTCAGGCTTGAAGACACTGAAGAGTCACAGTCTGAATCTATGGGAACGTCCTCCTCTATACTCCACTGTGTAATTCATTTTTGTCCCTCTGTTTCCCTCAGCCTCTTTCTCTCTCTGGCAGGGGCTTCAGTTCCATTTGCCTGGTGTTTCACTGTAGTGATCCTTGGTGTCTTGTGCTTCATTCTCCTTTTGACAACTAGAGTCTTGGGATACATGGGTAAGTTACTACATTTGTGATATAAACCACAGTTCTCCTCCCTAAGTAATTACTGTTTTCACTGGACTTTCTTTCCTACTAGGTTCACATCTCTGACCTCCAGCTCTACCCAGAGAACCCTTCTGCCTTCACCATTAACAATCACGTGGCCATTTATAAAGTTCCTCAAAAAGCTTCCACCTCTTTTATTTAATAAAACACAGATCATATACAGGCTTTTTCCAGGAAAAGCAATACTTAAGGTTTTATTGAAGGGAGATCATGCTCTATACACATTAATTTTCTCTTTCCTTGACACCTTCTTTCCAAAGTCCTATTGGTTGTACCTCCATACCACCATTGTACAGCTCAAATTTATCTTTAAATTTTTTATTCTCATAAACAACTGATATAAAACCATAATAAATATTTATCTCCTCTATTACAATTCACTTCTAATTTATCCTTTTTATAATTTTTTTATTTTAATTACTATATTTTGATATCTATTCTGTTTTTTTCTTTTTTCTCCTCTCATGGGCTTCAGTCACTGCCAAACTTCTAATTTATCCTAATGCTGACAGACTTTCAAAATCCTAAAGAAGCTGCCAAATAAAATTTCAAATATATCTCTGATCATGTCAATCAAATGCTCAGAAACAATTAATGTTTTTTCATTCTCTACTAAATAATGTTCAAACTCTTCTACTTATATTTAACTTCACAAATAATAACCTTATTTCAATCAAATAATTCTAAGATTTACTCAATATATTCCAATAGGCTTCAAGTGATTCTAAATCACTTGGTTTCCCTGGCATGTTCTCTAACTTTCTCCCTCCTTACACTTTTGATAGTGCGGTTCCCTTCATCTGGACAGCCTTCCTCATGCACGTTCCTGTGCCCGTTGAAATCATACCCATCCCTTAAGACCCATCTTAGAGGACATTCAGGACTTTTCTAATTCCTCCATGACGTTTTCTAATTCCCTAAGCAGATTTTAGTACTCTTTCTAAAACCTAAATCATGCATTTTCATTATTTTAAACATGAAATATTTTTCTGTTATGTCAGGATTTTGCAACCTCAGCACTATCGACAGCAGTGGGGAAATTCTTTGTTGGGGAGGCTGCCTATGCTTTATGGGTAGTTTAGCAGCATCCCTCCCTCTGCTCACTAGATAATAGCAACTATATCCAGAACGTCTATAGACATTGCAATGTCCCCTAGAGCAGTTATCCCCAACTGTTTTGGCACCAGGGCCACTTTCATGGAAGACAATTTGTTCACAGGACAGGGGAGGAGAGGCAGTACCCACCTAAGGCAGAGATGAGAGGGATGGGGAGTGGCTGCTAATACAATGATCTTCTCTTACTCACTAGTCGCTCACCTCCTGCTGTGCACCAACAACCCCCTTCTTAAGTTTCATAAGACAATTTTTCACGGAAGGGGTTTGGTTGGGGGGAGATGCAGTGGAGCTCTGCAGCCTAGTCCATAACAGCCCACGGACTACTATCTGTCTGCAGCCCTGGGATTGGGAACCGCAGCCCTAGAGGGTAAAATAAGCCCAGGTTGAGAACTACTGCTGCAGATAATTTTCGTTTCATATTAAACACTGCAGGTAATTAAAAAATAGATTAGCAACTACTAAGTCTTTTAAGTCTTGCATCAAAGTAAGTTATAGTCAGCTGCAGCCCATTGAAGGTTTATAGCTCTCTGTGTACATTTTTTAATGAATATTATCCTGTTTAATGACATATCTGAGTCTGAATTCAAGTTTCCTTCTTTATAGACCAAGACTTTTGATTTGTGTTCTTTCTTCTGTGAAAATATATACATATATATATATGCATGTGTATGTAGTTGTTTATACATGTATATGTAATACATACGCACAATTGCATAACCATATATATTAGCTTTATTGGGATGTAATTTACTTACCAAGTGATTTATCCATTTAAAATATAATATTTACCAGCTTCCAGTATATTCACAGAGTTATACAACCGTAACTACAATTAATATTAGAACATTTTCATTACCCCAAATGAAACCCATACCTATTAACAGCTGCTCCCCATTTCCCGCCAACATTACCAATCCTAAGTAATTAATAATTTATTCACTGTGACTATAGGTTTTTCTACTATAGACATTTCATAAAAATAAAATAATATAATATATGGTAATTTGTGGCTTCTTTCATTTAATACAATATTTTCAAGTTTCATTCGTGTTGCAAAATGTATGTCAATCCCATTGTATTGTTTTTTATATTTGTATTTGCATTTGTAATTTATCATCGATAGATAGACATACAGTTTATTTCTACTTTTTGATTACTATGAATAATGCTGCTGTAAAAATTCGTGTATAAGTTTTTGTGTGAACATACACTGTCATTTCTCTTGTACTTATACCTAGGAGTGGAACTGCTGAGTAATATGGTAAATATAGGTTTAATCATTTGAGGAAATGCCAGACTACATTCCAAAATGTCTGCACCATTTATATTCTCACCAGTAGCATTTGAAAATTCTAATTTCATCACAATTACCAAGCTCATTTTTATATCTTTTTGATTATTGTCATCCTTGTGTATGTGACATGGTATCATGTTGTGATTTGGATTTGTATTCCTCTAATGACTGGATATGTTGAGCATCTTTCATGTGCTGACCATTTGTGTATCTTCTGTGGTGAAATGTCTCTTCAAGTCCTTTTCCCATTTTTTGATTGGATTGCTTGGTTTTTTTTGTTGTTGAGTTGTTAGAGTTCTTTACATATTCTATATATGAATCACTCATCAGATATACAATTAGAAGCTATTTTCTCCCATTCTGTACGTTGCCTTTCCATGCTCATGATAGTAATTTTTGATATACAAGTATAATTTGAAAAAGTCCAATTTATATAGTTTGCTTATGCTTTGGGTGCCATATCTAATAAAGTATTGCCTATTCCACACTCATAAGAATTTGCACTTCTGTTCTAATAATTTTTTAATTTCAGTCCTTACATTTGTGTGTTTAATCAAAACTTAAGTAATTTTAATATGTAGTGTGAGGTAAATATAACATTTCCTTCCATTGATTTAGGTCTTCATTAATTTTCTAAAATGTTTTATAGTTTTTGTAGTATAGGTTTAATATTCTGTCATTACATGTTTTTTAAATATTTTATTCCGTTGGATGCAGTGGAATTGTTTTCTTAATTTTATTTTTAGATTGCTCATTACTAGTGTATAGAAATACTATTGGTTTTTGGATATTGACCTTGTATATTGCAACTTTGCAAAAGTGTTCATAACTTCTAATAAGTTTTCAGTGGATTACTCAGGATTTTCTATATACAAGATGATGACATCCAAAAAATATCTAGTTTTTCTTTTTTATGTTTTCTATCTGGATAATTTTATGTCATAGTCTAGAATCATTTCTATAATTAGAACATCAAGTACAATGTCATATAGAAGTCATAAAAGTTCACATTCTCATCTTGTTATTGGTCCTATGGAAAAAGTATTCAGTCTTTCATCAGAGGATACAGCCTTTGCCATGTGCATAGTCACCCAGAGCTGACAATGATTTCAGAAGATTTTTTTGACCATCTCTTTCACTGATCTCTCAGTCTGCCTTTGTTGAAATCTCATCCAACTATTAGACCCTACTAACTGTAGGCTGATTGCTCTATTGTTCTTGACAATGTCCTGGGGAATAAACCTCTCTAGCGTCTGATCCAGTTTAATTAAGGCCATTTTTAAGGAATAGTATTTGAGGCCAGTGTTTGACCAATATACTAACCTCAGAAAGGCTTTTCTTTTCAATTTTTTAAAAAATAAGCCCGTCTGCACAAAGGGAGGCTTTTCTTAGCTATCTCTTTCCTTGGTTAATGCTGGCCTATGTTTAGGACTGTTGGTTTTATAGTACATACTACCAACATTCTCTTAACAGCTTATTCTTGAAATCACCATGATTTTCAAGAGACTCCTACTTAGGCTTGAATTTCTTTGATCAGATAAATCAGCCTCTTTGCAAAGACCTCTCTGTTCTTCTGACATTTCTGTTTTCATGGAAAATATCTCTGGGCCATTTATATGTAGCTGTGAGCAGGGACAATGGCTCAATGCTCTTAGAGTAACACCCCTGCTCCATGAGTAAGCTCAAGGAGAAAGAGAGTAGTAACCTCTGGTTTCTTGGCTTCCATACCCTACCAGGAATGTCTACCCTGCTAGCAAGCTGGGATGACAGCAACTGATGGATTCTCCAGTATTCTTGGCCTGCTCCAGCTGGATTAGTGCTCTGTTCTATAAGTATGGTCTGAGTAGAGAAAGGAAGAAACAATGTCTTGGCTATATTTTTCTGAAATTTAGCCTCTGCAATATAGAGCTGAGAGGAATGAAAACTGCGGGCAGCCTGCCCTTCTGGAGACAAACCACAGCCTTTTGCTGAGAGCTGGGGGAACAAAGAGCCTGGTGTTTATGGCCACTCCCACTAACAGCCAGTTTTCCATGATACTGAGCTCAGGTGGGGAGGTCATGGCTCAATTGCCACACACTCTTACTGGTCTTACCAAGATTTAGCAAATTTTCTGAAATAATTTTTTTTCTTGTACTTTCCAAATGAATTTAAAACAAGATCCATAGACTTTAAATAGGTGTGTTATTTTTAATAGTTTTTACCAGCTGCGGTTGTTTTGCTGGGCAGCAGCTCTACAGAGCTCATCATGCCACCATGCAGGAAGGCACACATTTTTTATATGCTCTTTAGAAGTTAAAACCTCTATATCCCCTAGCCACACCTTTCAGAATATCTTATACGTAACCAATACTTATTTAATATTTTCTGCATTGAAAAATATTTTACATTTCTCATTCCTATATCGAACATCTTATAGCGACATTGATACTAATATGAGCAATTCTGCAATATTTGTGGGAGATTCATTTGGATCTTTCCTTAAAGACAGAGAACAGTGAAGAAGAGCCTTAGTATGATTCATGTCATATAATCAGAGTATCTCAAGACAGTGTTGTAATTCCACACTATTTTCTCCAATTAATTAATGCATACAAAGAAGTCTTTCCAAGAAAATATTTTTTCCATTTTTTTCTCTTCAAGCCCTCTAAGAGGACAAACTTCATCTCAAATTTTATTTTTTTCTAATCTTTTTACCAGTGTAATTTAATAAGTAAATTATGGTTCTAATCTTTTTAAAAATGTTACATGTTTATCCTTCCTTGAAGAGTTATAGAGCTAGATGGATGTAATTTACTTTGTAATAATGATAGATTATTTGTACTAGTTATTATAAAAAATATGGCTCCATTGAGGATGCTGGTTTAAATTTTTGTTTTAAAATAAATTTATTTAAGTTGAAAACACGTGGACTTAAAATGTTGCAGGAATAGTTATATGAACTGTGTGCAAATATAGGAAAAATTTTGACATGGAATACAAATGACTGAAGTTTTGGAAATATTGTTTAAGAATTTTAGTTTTATAAGGAGTATTTCTTTTTATTTAGAAAAGTATGTATACTACATGTTTAAATGTATCAATATTTACTTACCCTTGAAAAGGTAACTTATTACATACAAACCATTTAACCATTCTTTTTTTTTTTTTCCTGGTTTCAAAGTTTTCTAGATTTAACCATTCTTTTAGGACATATTTTGATAATTGTGATATTAATTTGAAAACCATAAGCATTCATCATCCATATTTTAAAAAGATCTAATAGAAAATTACCTTTCCGTACTTTGGAACATAGTGGATATAGGGCTAACAATAAGGAAAAATGTATTTATCAAAATTATTAAGTTAATCAAGATGTTTTCTCATATATCTAGGACCAACATCCTATGTTGCTATAGAAATTGCATAATTAGTCAATGCATTAAGAACAACTTATCTCACATTGTAAGCACTCACATATTAATTTTCTCATTTTATGATCAAAACATAATAACCATTAGACCTAAACACTCTAATCATTTAGGGAAATTATCATCATGACTTTCCACAGAAGGATAACAAAGGCATTCCATACCTGTGATTACAAAAGAAATATTCAGAGTATGCCTTTGTCATAAAGAGAAAGGCTATTATTTTCCTAAAGAAAAATTGTAAATTGTTAAACAAGAATAAAGGTAGATATTTATGGAGAAATAAATAGAGCAATTCATATACCTGATTACTTGTGGATGGAAAAGGAGACGAATAAATTATGTGTTCTCCAAATTTTGAGGCCTTTGCATGTGGATAGTGGTGCCATAAATGAAAAAAAAAAGACAGAAGTATTCAATGGCAAGTGTTAAGACATTGAACTGTTTAATATGTTTAGAGTTTGAAGTGACTGCTAACAGCCAAGTTGATATAGCAAGCAAAAGGTTACAGCCAAAAGGTTGCAGATTAGAAAAAACCCAAGAATAGATCTGTGCCTCTGAATTATTCTTTATGATCCCAGTATTTTTGCAATTCTGTTTATCCTTTGCATAGTAACCAAGCAAAGTTTTAAAATCTGATCCTTTGGCTTGACTGCTGAGTAACTTTCAAAAACTACACAACCAGAGTATCCATGATTTTCAAGGAGTGGGAGGGTCTGGGGTTGTGTAAGAGACTTCCTAAAGATTAAAGGCATTAGTGGTTTTAATAGAATATTGAAATTTACCAGCATTTCTCCACTGTTGTGGTGTGAAAATTAAAAATGTTCAGATGACAGGCCTTATGTGGAAATTCAAATATCTTGTAATTCATATAAAGATATTTTACAACTTGGTTTTCATATTCCTTTACAGTTTTTTTCCCCTAAATTGCCTTATACACAACCTATCTTCTGGATGTACTAATTTTGGCTTTTTTTTTTAAATCAAATGACCAACAAATTTATTAAAAGGATATCTGCTGAAAAAAGACACTCATGATCCAAGAAAAATAATACAGATTGTGAAAGAGAATACTAATATTGTTTTCTTCAGTCTCAGTACCAAACAGGGTGGAATTTATTTCAATATGTTCCTAGATCTGAATGCTCAACAAGACCATGCTCTCCTACTATGTCACATATTCTCCATTTCTCTCATCATGAAAATGGGTTCCAGCAATGTACAATTTTATAGCCTACCCTCTTCTCTTTTCTACCTCTTTCCCATCCATGAGCCAAAAACAAGTCTAGATCATCACTGATTCTTTGAAGCCTTGCTGAGCTGTCACCTATTTCAGAGGTTACTTTTAGTCAGTCAACTCTTCTTCTACTTACCAACAGCACCGTGTGATTACCTCTTTTATATCACTAGCAATATACTCTAATTGCATACTCGCTCCATTGCGATGAGTGGGATTCGTGCAGACGGAAGCTGTGCATTTCTCATTGTTTTGTCATCAAGGTCTAGTAAGATGTCTCGTCGTGGATGTCATTTCAATGAATGAGATGTAGGTGTGGGAATCATATTCAGAGAAAAGATGCCTAAAACCATAGGAATAAAAATGGTCTTAATTCCTAAAGATTAAATGACATATTAAAGTTAAAATTGTGCCTTGTGTTGAGTCCCATGTTATGTTTCTCTCAAGCTAACAATGTTGAGTAAAGTTTTCCAGGTTCATCAGGCTGCCCGATCACAGGAGGCTTCTTTGAAAAATGTAACAGAACAGCACAATTCCACATTGGAAAACGGGGCTTTCCCAGATAAACCATTCATTCCAGGTATGTAAGTATGCATTCAAGTATGAGGCCAACAAATGTCATCTCTTTTTCCCTCAATCTCCTAATACCCTACACCACTTGGGTTTTCTTGTAGAATAAATTGCTTGTCCAGTCCAGTTTTGAATCTCATTTAGTTGGGAAAAAGTCACTAATTTCCAGAGATTAGAGTTTTCTGTGTGCATGATATTATATTCTTTGACTTCACTATTTCCCCAACTAATAATTTTGCTACAACAACATGCTGCAATTCTTTTATCATATTCTCAAATCATCATTATACTCTTTAATATGGGTATGTAGATCAGGTCCTGAGTGGAGATCTGCTCTGTATTCATAGTTTTTACTCAGTCTAGAGAATACAAAGAAGCTGTTTCCCTTGATGCAGTCCTTCAAGTAGAGATTGTAAGGGAAAATTCGAATCTTGTAAGAAATTTTCCCTAGAAAATGTTAATAATATTGTGCGTAGACTTAGTGGACTAAAAGCAATGTGACACTCTCCCCAGAGAGGGCTCTTTCCAAAAGGCAGAAAGGAAGCCCATCAGTCTCACAAAATAAATGTCTTCAAAAGGACTAGAAGGGATTTCTCCATCTCTCAGTCTCTGGGAAACCCCTTTTGTTTTCAAGGAACTGAAAGCAGTAAATGTAAAACTAAGTGGTCACGTCATGGAAAGAACTGTTATTATTTTTCACGTGAAGAGAAAAACTTTGAAGACAGCAAGAAATTCTGCAAGAAAATGGACTCTACACTTCTTAAGATAGATGATGAAGAAGAACTGGTAAGGTATTTAAAATTAAAGATCAATAAATTTTATCTGCCTTATATTAACTTCGAGATCATACTAGCTGCCTCTGTAAAGTGAACTAAATATTTCATAATCTTATAATTGTGACTTGTGTGGCATTACATAATTAAATTACAGAAACGATTTACAATTATTCTTGCAAAAATAGTTATTTTAACATTCCAGATGAAGGGTAATCTTTAAATATCCTCTCAAAAACAGGTTAATAGACACTAAGAATCACTCACTCTCTGTGCCAGTCCAATTATCCATATACTTGACTTTCAACAACTCACAAATAGCTGTAACAATATATGAACTAGAAATACATCAAGAAAGCTGAGCAAAATTTCAGGCCAGAAAGAAGATATTTCTAGAGTTTTAATTAATCTTCTTTTACTTCATTAGAAGATTGCCATTGTTGTTCATGGCCTGAAGAAACACGTTTTAGTAAACACAATAAAGAGCTTAGTTAATAATGGGATATATTGTAAAGTACCCCAGTAGGGGTGTAAATGTGAAATCTATCTCGCTCAACATAAATAACAGTCACATTTTTAGTGAGAATGTCCACTGTGATCTTAGATAAGAAATATAAAATTAATATGGATAGTAAGAGGATTTCAGAAATACTTATGTAAGTATAATCATAACTCCTAGAATTCTAACGGAAACATTAGAAAATAAGTAAATGGTGTTTGCGAATGGAACTTTTGACTTTTCATGGCAGTGTGTGTATCCTAAATTTTGGCTTTTCCTGAGAGTGTCTTCTCTTGGTTTCCCTCATCCTCTTTATAGAGTTATATAAATTGCTAAATGAATATAAGTTACTTTTATACTCCTCAAGGAATTATTAAGCCAGCTTTGTAAACACTTCGTCTAATGGAAAAGAGATTATTTTCTGAGGATAACCATTTTACAAAAAAAGAACAAAGAACTTGTAGAAAACAAAAATATAAAACAACATTGTTAGAAATCTCATAGCTATCACACCTGCACCCTAAAATACAAACCAGATTGCAAAAACCTCATCTTTGAGCCACAAAAATGTTTCAAAAGAAAATTGAGATTTCAGACCTCAGTTTAAATAAACATAATTAAACTAAGTGTCATTCTTATTTATAGCTCTACATTTAATAAAATATCAATAACTAAGACTCCGTTATTTTGTAACTTAAAAAGATTCAGGGTGAATTTGATCTTTATACTTTTTGATATTCACATTAATCAAAATTGATATACAAGAGTATATTACTTCATTCGAGGACATACAAAAATTCTCAATCACAAATAATGTTCCATTTATTACAGAACTTCATCCAAAACCAAATATCTCATTTGTATCATTCCTCGTGGATTGGATTGTCCCGTAAAGGAATGAGTAGACCCTGGAAATGGGAAGATAACTCAGAACCTCTACCCAAAATGTAAGTCTCTAAAATAGATAATGGCTAATAAGTTTGATAATCACAGATACTGTTTATAGTCCTGAAGGCATATAGGAAAGAAATATACAAACACATATTTATCCATACACACACACATATACAGAAATATAAATGTACACACACACATACACACTTTTATGCGCACACACTTACACTTCCAAAGGACCTAAGCTTAGTAAGGAGTCAAGTACATGAAGAAAGAAAGGAGACTTTTCAAATTTAATTCTATGTCTATATTCCTTGTAAGATACTCTAGGAATGCCTAGGGCACCAAGAGATAGTTCATATATAAAAAAAAAAAAAGCACACCACCTTAACTTTGGACCAATATATCTCTTATATCTGCATTAATGAATGTATGTTTCACAGCACTTATTTGCTTTTATTTTAGTTTAGGTGATTGGAAAGAATCAGACCGTGGAAACTGTGCAAGTATAAGAGGAAGAAAGGCAGCTGCTTCTGACTGCTCCAAATTCATGTACTACATTTGTGAGAAGACAATTGCTTGACTTGCTACCCAATGATAAAAACAACACCACCAACAAAACACAGATACAATAATCTTTCCCTAAAAACCTGAGACCTGGGAAGTTCTACAGTCTTCCTCTCTTTTTTCACACTTTCTAATTTTATATGGGCTGTACCTGTAGTCTGGCCTCTGAGCAAGTTGAGGCAAAAACATTTGGTCCATCAAGGTGAGGTTCAGCAGACCCACCATTCTGCCCCTTTCCCATCCAGACTGCCAGATCACACCATTTAGGAGCACAGGTGGAGTAGGGGAGTAGCAGCACTTCTGCTGGGGGCTGGGAAGCAGAGTTCTGTATACTCTTCCTGCAACTCCCACAGACCTAGGAAGTAATGCTGTAAATGTCACTCACCACAATGCACATTCTTGCTGAGAATTAATGAAATAGTAATTAAAGTCATTAATCTTTAAGAATTTTGTATACATTTCTGTTTGATACCTTTCCTTTTTTTGAGACCTGCACCACACCTAATAGCTATGTGCTTGCTGTTAAGTCCAAATCTCAGAGTCTTAGTTTCCTTTCCAGTAAGTGAACTTTCTGTTTTCCAAAGTCGCTATACCATTTTGCATTTCCACCCACAGTGTATGAAAGTTCCATTTGCTTGTGTCCTTCCAATACTTACTATTGTCGGTTTACAAAGACATTTTAATAAGTGTGTAGTATAATGTAACTGTGATTTTCATTTGTGTTTGCCTAATCAGTAATGATGTTAAGCATCTTTTATATATTTTTGTCAACCATATCTACTATGGTAAAGTAGATACTCAAATGTTTTCCCCATTTGTGTTGGGTTGTCTACTTTCGTGAGTTATAGAGTTCTTTATATATTCTTGATACCATTTTACCATTACTTTACCATTCAGATTTTATACATATTTTCTTCCAGTCTTTTATCCTTGTCTTTCATTGACTTGATAATGTCTTTAGAAAACTTTTTGTGTGTCCTCAGAAATGTTTTATGTCATGATTGCATTTTATGTAATTTTGTTAAATAGGCTAAACTAAATAAACTCTGGTTTTATGTGTCATAACAGCATTGTTTTATAATAGCTAAAACCTGGAAATAATCCAAATATCTGCCAACAAGCAATGGTTGAATAATTTGTTGTATATTTATGCAGTAGAATATTAGATAACAAAGAAAGTGAACAAACCTCAATATACAGCAATACGGATGAATTTTATCAACACAATGTTAAGCGATATGAGCAAGACGAAAAAATATATGATTTTACTTACATAAATTTCAAACACTAGTCGGGTGTGGTGGCTCACACCTATAATCCTAGCACTCTGGGAGGCTGAGGTGGGAGGATCACTTGGGATCAGGAGTTCAAAACCAGCCTCAGCAAGAGTGAGACCCCATCTTTACCAAAAAAAAAAAAAAGAAAAAAAAGAAAAATTAGCCAGCCTACTAAAAATAGAAAAGAAAAAAAAAATTAGCCAGGCATGGTAGCGCATGCCTGTATTACCAGGAACTCAGGAGGCTGAGATAGGAGGATAGCTCCGTGTAAATGAGTTTCAATGTAAGTCTCCTAAGAAATCTTTCAGGGGGGAAATGGGCATTTATTGAAACCTTAAAATCTGTACCCCCATAATATGCCAAAATAAAAAAAAAAAAAAAAAAAAAAAAAAAAAAAAAAAAGAAATCTTTCATTATCCTAAGGTTGATATATTTTCTCCTATATTTTCTTCCGGAAGTTTTAAGTTTACATTGAATTCTACAGTCCATATCAAGCCCAGGAGTTTGAGGTTGCTGTGAGCTAGGCTGACATCATGGCACTGTTTCTTTCTTTGAGACTCTGTCTCAAAAAAAAAACAATTTCAAACACAGCAAAAACTAAACTATAATGTGCAAGTCAGGATATTAGATACCCTTAGAGTAAAGGGAGTGGAGAGTTACTGGGAGGAACAGAAGGAGAGCTAGGTTTTATGTATATTTCTCTTTGTGTTTTTCATCTCACAATTTTAAAAGGTTTAGCAAAGTGAGCAGGAGCCTCCTATGGACTCCTGCTGCTCGGGTTCACATCCCACCTTTGCTGCTTTCCATCTGTGTACTTTGGGCAATATACTTAACAGCCATGTCCTCAACTTCCTATCTGTAAACTGAAGATAATAATGCAATCTACTTCATGAGATTTGTTGTAAAGGTGAGAGTAATATTAGAAACTTTGCTAAAATACTAAGCTTTTTATAACAATACCTGGCACATACTAAATGCTGACTAATTGCTAATTCCTGCCATTGTTTTTATTATTGATATCATGGCCAGTTTGTTTCTTGAAAGAAATCATAAACTCCAATTGCAATTATGTTGTATTTATAAATCCATCATGGCTCTCCGTGTAGATGAGTTTCAATGTAAGTCTCCTAAGAAATCTTTCATTATCCTAAGGTTGATATATTTTCTCCTATATTTTCTTCCGGAAGTTTTAAGTTTACATTGAATTCTACACTCCATATCAAGTTAATTTATATATGGTGCAAGATAAGGGGTGGGCCATTTTTTCTTTTTACACATAGATATCTAACTATTCTAGCACCACTTTTTGAAAGCAATATTCTTCTATTCAAATATAGTGGAACTTTCATGAAAAATAAATTGACAACAGCAAACTGGTATTAACTGAGCAGCACCTAAGTGGACACATAGGTACTACAGTAATAGGGTATTGAGCACCTGGGAGGGGGTAGGGGGTGGGTATATACATACATAATTAGTGAGATGGGCACTATCTGGGGGATGGTCATGCTGGAGACTCAGACTTGTGGGGGGAGAGGGGGAATGGGCATTTATTGAAACCTTAAAATCTGTACCCCCATAACATGCCGAAATAAAAAAATACATGAATAAATAAAATTAAAAAAAAAGAAAAGAAAAAATAAATAAATAAATTGACAATTTATATATGGACCAATTTCTGTATTCTCTATTCTATCCCATTCAAGGATCTATCTTTTTTCAACAATATAACAATATTTTGATTTTTGTCACTTTATAATAAGTCTTAAAGGAAAATAATGTCAGTTCTTCACCTTTAGCCTTTGTGATAGTTCTTCGAACTTTCTTTGTGTTTTTTCCAAAAGGAAAATTAAAGCTAGTGATCAAATCTTGCATAATTCCACTCACCAATACAAGGAACAAGGGCTCCTTGGAGAATGGCTGATTCTAAGACAGGGACAGAAAATATGCAAGATGGGCTCATATGCTCGTGGGAACATATGGCAGTGTCAGAAGAGAGGAAGTGCTTAAAATGGTGGGGATGTGGCAAAAGGAAATGGGAGTCAAGTAAAGGAGTTCCCAATGGCAAAAGGTGGAACAAATTGAGCAATAAAATAAATGTAATGGTATTGGATTATAACCTAAAGGGTAAACTAAATATAAATGATCCTATAATATTACAACAATTATTGACTAAATAGGGGAATAAGATAAATCTCCATGTAGAAGTACTCCAAATAAATTACGTGTATACTCCTCCCTTTGGAAATGGGGCATGACTCCCCACTCCTTAAGTGTATACTGCACACAGTGATTTCTGTCCAAAGAGTACAGCATGAAAGGGAGAAAAAAAATAACTTGTTTATAACAACTTTACAGTGGAAAAGTCTGACAAATGCTACTGCAGTGAGCAAAGTTAACATCAACAGTAATAGTCATATTGATAATATATACCTTGATAATGATCTGATGACAATGGCACTTAGCCTCTGTGCTTTTCCTCCAAAACATCTGTAAGCCCAGCCTACTCATAAAAAAGATATTAATATCAGACAAATCTCAGTTGAGGAACATTCTACCAAACACCTGGCCTGTGCTCCTCAAACCTATCAAGGTCATCAAAAACAATGGAAATCTGTTATAGCCAAGAGAACCCTAAGGAAACATGACAACTAAATGTAATGAGATCCTGGAATAGAAAAAGGACATAAAGAAAAACTAAGGGGCCGGGCGCGCTGGCTCACGCCTGTAATCCTAGCACTTTGGGAGGCCGAGGCGGGCGGATTGCTCAAGGTCAGGAGTTCGAAACCAGCCTGAGCGAGACCCCGTCTCTACCAAAAATAGAAAGAAATTAATTAACCAACTAAAAATATATATATACAAAAAATTAGCCGGGCATGGTGGCGCATGCCTGGAGTCCCAGCTACTCGGGAGGCTGAGGCAGTAGGATAGCTGAGCCCAGGAGATTGAGGTTGCTGTGAGCCAGGCTGACGCCACGGTACTCACTCTAGCCTGGGCAACAAAGTAAGACTCTGCCTCAAAAAATAAAAGAAAAACTAAGGGAATGTGCATAAAGGATGGATTTTAGTTAATGAAAAACACATTAGTATTGATTTAGTAATTATAACAAATGCACAATACTATTATAGCATGTTAAAAATGGGGGAAACTAAGAATTGAATATATGAAAACTCTGGGCTATCATTCCATTTTTCTCTGTAAAATGGCTTTCTTAATTTGCTTAACACAAGAAGGTACTTTTCATTGCTTATTTTTATTTTTTATTGATTTTTATCTTTCATTTCAAAATATTAAGGAGGTACAAGTGTTTTTGTAACATGGATATCTTGTCTAATGCTTGAGTCAGGGTTTTGATGTGCCCATCACCAGAATACTGTTCATTTTACCAAATAGGTAGGTTTTTAGCCCATACCACCCTCCCACCCTACCCCCTTCTTGGTTTTTCGTGTCCTTTATGTTGCTCTGTGCTCAAGTGTACCCATCTATGAGCTCTCACTTTTTAGTGAGAGCATACCATGTTGGTTTTCCATTCCTGTGATACTTCACTTAGGGTAGTGGTCTCCAGTTTACTCCACATTGCTGCAAATGACATCGTTTTGGCCCTTTTATGGCTGAGTAGTACTCCATGGTATACATATATACCACATTCTCTTTATCCACTCATGAATTGAAGGGCACTTGGGTTGATCCCACCTCATTGCAAAGGTGAATTGTGCTGTGTTTTTTCTGTAAATTTATAACTGTATGAAAATCAGGATGTGCTATGGTCAGAATGCTCGTTTTCTCCCAAAATTCATATGTGGAAACCTAATCCCCAATTAAGAGGAGGGGCCTTTGGAAGGTGATTAGATCATGATGAGAGCAGAGCCTTTATAAATGGAATTAGTGCTGGGGGAGCTCATTTTTTGCCTTCCATAAGAATACAATCAGAAGTTACCATCTATGAACCAGGGAACAGGCTCTCACCAGACACCAAGTATGCTGCTTGCTCCATCTTGGACTTCCCAGCTTCCAGAATGGAGAGAAATAAATTTCTGATGTTTATAAGCTATCCGGGCTATATGGTATTTTGTTATAGTAGTCCTAATGTACTAAAACAGGTATCAATTTCTACCGAAAAGAACCCCCCAAAAATCCTACTGGGATTTAGATTTGGATTGATTTAAATTGGTCAATTTGGGGAGAAATGAAACCTTAACCACATTGAGGTTTCCAATCCAGGTACAAATGGTGCATCTATTAAGTTCTCTACGTCTTCTTTAAATTTTCTCATTAGTATTTTATAGTTCTCAGCATGAAAATTGTGCACATAATTGGTAAATTCATAAACTATCTATAATGTTCTTGATGCTATGTAAATGGTTCCTTTTGTTTATTTCAGTTTCCAATAGTTCAATTTTAGTATACAGAAATAGAATGGATTTTTACATACTGTCCTTGTATCTCAAGCTATTCTAAGCTCACTTATCCATTTCAGGAGGTTTTTGGAAATTATTTGAAATTTTTTATGTATACAATTACAGCATTTTGCAAAATATACATAGTTTTGTCTCTTCCTTTCCAATCCTTATTTCTTTTCTTTCTTTCCTTATTTCACTGACATGGCCTCCATTATAATGGTAAATAGGAGTGGTGAGAACAGATGCCCTTCCTTGTCCCAAATCAGATCTTGAAGGGAAAGCATAATCTTTCACTATTAAGTATATTGTTAGTTGTAGGCTTTTCTTAGATGTTTTTATCATGT